CATGAAACACCATGTCAGGTCAAAAAAAAAAAAAAAAAAGTCTAAATGTTGTTTCAGTTCAACAGTGAATACAGTCTGTCTATGGGACCAAAATCACCTCATCCTACTAGCCTTTTGGTGTTCAGCGGCCTTATTTCATATCAAAGTCCTCATTTATAGCTATGTCTTAATCTGCAAAAGTCTGCTATGTTAACAGCTGTACTGACCCTGTTCCAGTCTGGACTGGAATGTGCCCCTGGAATGTGCGCGTATTAGTGTTTTTCTGGAAGATATAAGAGTTATTTGTAATTATAACTGTAATTTGCAATCACCTTTGTAGAAAGCAGCTACTACTGGGAGTTCATTAGGTGGCTGCCTGTCAGAGTTTCTCAACACAAAAAACCAGCGCACTATCTTTTCCTGATTAGTGCTTGATTTATTTCATTCAGAGAAAAAAAAACAAACCATGAGGCTACATTACTGTTTATTTTCCCATCCATACACAAATATCATTTGTGTCTGTGTAAGCCGGAATGGGCATGGCACTGGGAATAGTGGGTGGCTTAGATTATTGGTGTTGCCCTGCAGATGCAAGTTTTGTACTATTTTTAATTTGGGCAGTATTCCCCACCAGACTAAAACAATTTACATGTAGAGCAGATTTGGGTTCCAAGTAAACTTTAGCTGTATAATTTTTAAAAAAAACCTTTGTGGCTTACTTGGCTCCAAGCCATAGTCTACAACATACCATACAGTTTGTGGAAGAGGAAGAGATGAGAAAAGGGTGATGGACAGGGCAGTTTCTGATCACTCGGTAACATCAGTGTAGATCCAGAATAACTATGCCAACTTCAGTTAAGTCACTTCTATGTAATTCAAAGCAGAATCTGCTGTGATTCCTCAGTGTGTTTCGTATGATCAAAACACCAATGTAAGCTATGAATTACCATAAAAAATTTTAACCATTTAGAAACCTATGTTCTTTTGTAAAAATTAATTAGGCACTTGGAAAGTTAGGTATTGATTTTTTTAGTAAGGCTTAAACTCTTGAATGGATCTTTTTTTTTTTCTCATTGAAAATGGAGGCCAACAGAAGCATTTTCTATGGATAATACACTCTGTTAAATTTTGGAAGATTTTTTGCTTTGGCTTTCTTGAAAAATGAAAGATGCAGTGAAGGTCTGAATATTGAATGTTTTCCAAACACAGGGATACTACTCTGTCCTAAGTATGCCTTCCTCTGCAATCTGAAAAACAAACTCTGGGCACGCAAAGCAAAAGTCATGGCCAGTTGTTTCTCATTTGCACTGTTACTCAGTTTAGACGTTGCCTTTTTCATTCCAGTTAGGGCGTACCACTTCTCATTCAGTGCTGTTCCTTCCAGAGTGTGTAGCCTACAAAAGTTAATAAGTACTACATGGTGTAAACTTCTAAGTACTATTAGCATGACTGCAGAAATGTTGCTTGTCTTAGATACTTTATTTTGGTTAGGGTGCTCATTCTGTAATACATCCTTTTTTGAATAACACATGATAAAAAGTTCTAAAATGTTTTATTGTAATACTAAAATGTAGCTTTGTCTGATCATTGTTTTAGGAATTAGCCAACTGTTTTGTAACGTGTCATGTGAAGGTCTCTACAGCATTATGTAGGTTTCTGTTTGTTCACACTTAGTATTGTTTTCTGATTTCATGTCTTGTCTGGGGATTAACTCTGCCACACATTTTCTTGAAACAGGGAGGGGGACACAGTGGTTTAGTGATTAACACAGCAGAATGCTTAAGTGAAAATAGCTGCAGAACTCAAAAAACACACAGTTCAAACAGGTCAAAGTATACACGCCATGAAGAGATGTGCATTTTTTGCATTGTAAACCAGTAGCAAGTGTGACTTTGGAAGAAGAGAATCATTTTGCTTTCGTATTGAAAGTGTTAAACACTGGGGTAGCGACTTTTCTGTGGGTCTGCCAGTGTTCAAATAAGTAACTGGAGAAAATGTTCTGCTTTGCTTTCAGGAGTTGCTAAGTCGAACATCACTAGAGACCGAGAAATTAGATCTAATGGCTGAAGTTTCAGACCTGAAGATTAAGCTGGTTGGTATGGAAAAGGAACAGAGTGAATATGAAGAGAAACAGAACAAAGCTGAGGTGAGTTTCTTTAATTAGCTTGTTTTCTTTTTTTTTTTCCTATCATGTGGCTATGGTATGCTGTCATACACCTGAGCTTTTGATCTGAAATCAGCATACAATAGGATTTTCCATGCTTATAGTACAGGCCATATCATTGATCCTGTGAATTCAGTGAGGAATATGATTATGCATTTTTGGGATGTGGGTTCTTTTCCCCTCTCTCATTATACTTCAAAGGTTGCTGCTTGGCTTTAATCAAGGCACAAAGTCCCTTCCAGAAGCATACAACTGGCATTCACTTAACCCTTTCCTTTCCACAGGAGCTGGGCTGGCATGGCCATCTGAGGCCTACCAGAGCTCTTCTCTTTGCTTGTTTATGTGGCAGAGAAGACTGTCAGTTCAGTAGTGTCAGGGGTGCTGTGAACACTTAGATGATTGCCCTTGGTGATTTTAATGCCTTCATGACACTTGGGAGGGAAAGGCAAGGGGCAGGGCATTTTCCTCAAATGACCCTTTCCCCTTGTGGTTACATAATAAATAGTGGGGGAAAAAAAAAAAAAATTACATGCATTGGAGGAAATTCTATTCCTTAGTCCCCTTCAGATGTGGAGAGTTCTGGACATCAAAGAAACTTTGCTTTTTACCATATTGGTTACGAAAGAGAGTATGAAATGGGGAATCATATGAACAACAACCATTTCATGGTAGTGAGCAGCAGGTGGGAGCTTGGAAGGAAAGTGATTACGGAGGGCAGTAATTCATTTGGATTGCCATGTGCTGCAGGACATGCTCAGTGGTCCTGTAAGGGGACCGACTAGCAGGAGAGGATTACCTGGCAAGGGAGGATTACTAGGTCCAAGATTTATATGTTGCTGACTGAAAAGAGACTTTATGTTCCACATTGGCTTAGGAAAATTTGAAATCCAGGCGGTGTTAGAAAACTGTTTGTTCTCCACAATGTTGCTAGTGGAATATTTGATAACTATGCATAAGTAATTTACCTGCAGTGACATAATGTGTTTGGGGTGTGTTTGTTTTTTGACTTATTTATCCTCAGAAGTTTTCTTTAGAGATTAAAAGATAGCTTAAAGAGAGCAATTTCTGGCAGAGGTTGCAAGCCAGAGAGGCACCAGCTGCTGTTTTTACCACCTGTGGCCTTCTTGTGCTTTTTCACCCATAATTGTCAGCGTCTTGTGTACAGAAGGCCTAAGCAGTCTCGTACTACCTGAAAATCTAAAGGGGTCTGTGCAGTGCCTAATTGCCTCAGATGGCAGCCTGCTCCCAGCAGCCACCTTCCTGAGAGGCCTTCAGCACTTCCCAGTACATGTCGAATACGAGGAAGAGGCTGCTTAAATTATTGCAGGACGTGCACAGTCACCCTGACTCCTGGAAAGCAGCAAAGCTTTTGAGTGCATTTGCATTGACAGGATCTTTAAGTACCGAGTAGGTCTGGGCCTGTGATGAGGGTGAGGCTGTGACCTGTGAAATTCTTCTGCCACTGCAACAAGGTATGTGGCCCCCTTGGATGGAAAAGTTGAGCTTTATTGGCCTGGAAGCCTTTGTGGAAAAGGATTCTAATCTGATGGAAAAGTTGAGAATCATTGTGTTAAGTATGCCCTGAATTATTAACTACCCCAAGATGTGATTAGATTTCTGGCCTGTTGAAAGTCACAAACCTGTGTATACAAAGCAAGGAAAATGGGTGTTGTAAGTAAAGCTGTGGGAAATAAACAGCATTTTTGGTTTGTTCATTGAGCTATTTTACAAATTACTTCAGATTGTCCTGAATAAGCTTTAATTCAATTTGTCGAGATGAACAGCGTTGTTTTCAGTCAGACTGGATGCTTACTTGAATTGTAATGCTTTAACCCTATTTCAGCTCCTTTTACTGTAAATTTTACTAATTTTGAATACAAACACAATTTCAAACATCAGAATTAAATTTACTAATATATTATATTATACTATTAGACTACACCAGTTGCTTAAATTGGGTAATGTCTTTGAGTGTCTTCCTGAACTCCTTGCCTACACTGCCCAGCTACATCTTTCTAGTGAATAAGCCACTCTTATGTATGCCAACAGCCTACCTTTAGTTTGCCCTTGTTTACGCGTACAGAGTTGTGTTGTGGTAACCTAATTGCTTCAGAGTGAGACAGTTCTCCAAACTGACAGTGACTGAATGAAATTAATCTTGTTGTAATCGTATCTCTGAATGTCGTGGCTACTACAACATGCTCTTACAGTGTATAATGCCTCAAATGAATGCAATTAGTATTTTTATAAAGTGGAATAAAGCTCTGGGTGACAGAGATAGAGCCTTTTGTATAGATTGCAGCTGGCCAATTACTGCTTTGAAGACCGAGTTTGGGACTGACAGAGGTGAGCAGAAGGGTGATTTTTATAGATTTGCTACTATCAGAAGTAATAGTCCTCAGTTTTCACCCTAGTGCGTGTGTTAGAAGCATCTAGGAGTTAAACCCTTTTAAACAGCCTGTTAATGATACTTCATAGCTGACCCTGCAATTTCTAAATATAATAATGGGTTTTAAAAAGTTTAAAATTAAATGTGACATTGCAGAGTAATTCAGCTAAAATTTGCTCTGCACTTTAATTTTGTGTCGGCTTATTTCACAGCAGCTGTTTCCAGTCACATAGAACTTATCTGTAGAATTATTTCACTGGTTGGGTTGGGGGGAAACAAAACAAATTAAGATATCCTGCTAAATATGAGCAAGTTGTAATGAGTCAGATTCATTTCACTTTATCTTGTGCAGCTGTGGTTTAGTTTTGGTTTTAGTTAGCAGCAAAGAGTTTATCAAACATCTCTAGCCTCCTCTCAAAGGTATTAATTTCACACTGAATGCCACTTGTCTCTGGCTCTTCAAAAGCACATGCTAAATTTAAAGCGCCATTTATTTATATATATATAAAACACAGGGGCCGGGAGAATAGCTGCTTGTAAATGGACAGTCTCACTCCTGGCTTTGTCATTTTAATTCTTTTTTTTTGTGGAATAATGTTCTACTTTTGCTGCAGTGATGCTGTGAAGGTTTCTGAAACCCCACCTGAAGGAACTTTTCTCTTACCTGAGAAGCCTTAGAAATTTTGGAAATATGTTTTCTTAATGTAGGAAGGTATGAATGAGTAGCATTATCAAGTGATTAATGGCAGCGCAGATGCCTGCTCTACCCGAAAGTAGACAAAAGAGACCACCTATCACTCTCGGGAGACTGCGGGAATAGTTGTCCATTTCTACTTGCTTAGCAGCCCTTCTTCTCTCCTACTTTTTCTTTTCTAGCATGGGATAAGTTTTGTGGGTTTTGCTCTTTCATACTGAGGATCTGAAGTTTGCTGTAAGCTGTTGGGAAGTGTTCTGTGGCTCTTGTGTGGACAATTCTGAATTAAATACCTAGTGCATAGTTCCTCGCAATTTCAAAGAAACGAGTCAGTGAGCCACTGACTCCCACTGGGGACTTTGGTCTGTTGTCTCACCTGAATTAAATTCAAGATATAGTATGTTAGTGTTAATAAATTTTCATGCTTGAATCTCAAACATAAGATGCCTTTTCTACCTTGAAGCTAGAAACAACTGTAAAGGCATATATTGCAGCTGGAGTTCATCTGTTTCTCCTCCATAGACCTCTCATCCTTCACTGGGGTAAGGATTGCTGCCGTTTCTGTACTGTCAAGCTTGCCCTTAGGGAAGTCTGTGTGGGTATAGAGTGTTTCCCATTCCTGTTTTTAATGTGAGGCAAAAGAGAAAAGAATTGCAAGGCTGCAGCAGAAGTGTTTCTGAACTCTCCCATGTTGCCACAACTGGAGCAGCTGTCAGTTTGTGCTTAAAAGCCTGTGCATCTTGTTTGAGCAGCGGTTCTTCAGAACCTTGTATGCGTTAACAGTGTTCTCTGCCAAAGATGAGCACAGACTAAAATGTTGGTGCTTACAAGAAAGCAGGAGATGTATGTGTGTCCTGATGATACCAGTCTCCAGTTGGTATTGCTCAGTGAGTCATCTGATTGTGGAGATGACGGTAAAAAAGAAACAAAATCAAAGCATGGAAGATGGGGAGGGATTGTGGATAGTATCTAAATTGTACATGCAGCTAGTCCTACAGGTGTTCTGCTTTGGATTGTTCTGATAAGAGAATGAGTTAGCTAGGAGGACGTTCTCCTCACCGTTGTCCTACTGTGTTGCTGCGAAGTGGCTGATGTAGCCACCAAGCGTAGGAAGGATATGGTTTCACCTAGGGGAGCTGATGCTGAAGGAGGCTGTCTTTTCTTACCTGTGCAGCTGGCAAGACTTGTCAGCCTATGAAAGACTGGATATTGCAGAGTTGGTATGCTGGGGCCAGTACTCATTCTAAATTTTTTTTATTGTTTAGGGAACCAATCCTTATTTATGTGCATAAAAGGTTTGTTGGATAAAAGAGGACGAGCGTCAGACATTATGATCCTGATTGTGTATTTCACTTCGTACATATTATTCTCGTATTTCACTGCTTTTCTGAATTTAATCTTAAGCACAGTGCCCTATAAAAATTCTTACCTGATATGAAACTCTTTTACCTAACTGATACATATTCTTTTGAAAGGGAATCTTTGTGAATGTTTAAAGTTGTCCATGGACACTGATACGTTTGAGATTGGTTATGTTGAATACTTAACTGGTGAGAATAGCGTCCTGTCCTCGCAGTAGTTGTTCCCTAGCTTTGAGATTATTGGTTCACCAGAGAGCTGAGATTACAGGAGGACTGTTGTGCATTGTAACAAAGAAAAAAAAAATTATGCCATGTCATCTGTTGTCTTTTTCACTCCTTTGGAAGACGGATTAATCTCATCACATTTATTCCACTTGAGAAGATTGACAAATCACAAAACGTATGTTGTTAATGTCCGTGAAATGCATAATGTGCACTCCAAACTTGTAATACCCGAGAAAATACTCAGCACTATTTGCTACTGAGTTGGGGAATTCAGGTGAAATGTTAGATTTTAATACTTGTCTTTGGTTTGCTTTCTGTAGCTGGATTTTTTTGTGTGTATTGCTGATACACGCAATTCCAAGAAGCTGGCCAGTGAATTGGTACACTTTAAAAATCATTACTTTTTCTCCTGTGGTATCCTTTGATTTCTCCTATGTATGCTGCTGAAGTTTTTCTCCATGCCAAGATACTGCCTAGCTAGACCTGAAAGCAGAATTACTTTATTAGTAAATTCTATGTATAAATTGTGAAAGAGTAGGTTACGGCCCCAACTGAGCACTTAGCAATTTCTTCCTAGTGGATGATTTGGCTGTGTAAATGAATGTAATCAAGTCCATTTCAGCAAAATTGTGCCTCTGAGCCAGCATATTAAAATATGTTCCAATTTTTCCTGATATCTCACTTCATGTGACTGGATAAGTTTCCAAAAATGAGGGGCCAAATTTCTGATCTTCACATTAGAATCAGAGTCATGAATTGGTCTGGAATATAGATTCTGTTCTGTTTAAACTGTAGCTTTGTGCAATATTCCAGATTTGTATCCCATTCACATATACTTTATCAGAAGGGAAATACATAATCTGTCTTTTTTTAGTTTGCCTTCGATGTGCTTCATGCATTTCCTTGTGCTGCAACTGTAGAAGTATCATCTTTGCATCATTTTCCTTCTCACTTGTCTCTTTTTTTTCTCTTTTTTTCTTTTTTTTTTCCTTTCTTCCCATGTTTTCAGTCAGTAGTGAACCTGATCAGTGAGCTACAGGAGCAGATGTGTAGACTGCAGCTGGAAATTAATAGTAGAATCCAAGAAAGAAAGTCTCAAGATAGGAAACCAGACTTGACACCTAATGGTCCTCAATCTAGTCCAAGATCAGTGGTAGAGACTCTCAGCCAGAAGAATTGCTTTCAGTGTGATGTACGAGAAGTACCCCTTAGCAGAAGCCATATATTGCCTCTTGTCTGCTCTTGCAGAAACTCAATTCCGCTGACCAGAGCTATGTTGTGAATTATTGTCATTAATCTTTGTGGTTTTCATTAGCAAAGAGTGAGGTGGTCATACAAATTATCAAAAAACCCCAACCCCAGACACCCACCCCTGATTATTGGGACAAATTTGGTCACCATTGATGTCTGTCAACTAAAGCACCAGATATCTGTAAGACCCAATCACCTCTTTCGGGTTTTTTTAATTATTGTAATTTTACTTGTAGGTCTGTAGTACTGGTGTGGGGTGGGTTTTTTTGATTTGGGGGTTTGGGTTTGGGTTTGGGTTTTTTTTTTTCCCTTAGTTGAGATTTGTTGGTTTGATATACAGCATGCTAGCATGGTTTGGAGGTTTGCTAATTTTCCTCATGATAATGTCACCCCACCAGTGCATGATGGTGCACCCTAACCAGTCCTCTGAACACAGAATATTAATTCCTGAGTATCTTAAAAGCTTAACACAGGTATAAAATACAGTTTTAAGGCTATCTGAAATGTATCCTTTCTTTTTCTAATGATAATGTTACAGTGAATGAAAAAAGCCATAATAAAACCAATCTGCTCATACCTTTAAATTAGCAAATCCAATGCATTTTATTGATTCTCTGATATTAGCAGTTACTAGAAAAGCATTTTTGAGTTTACATTACAGATCCTAGTCGTATGTGGTCAAAACTATATCACATGTCAAAACAAAAGCTACTTTACTTAAACTGCTTAGATTTACTGAAGGAGGAATGATACCGGTGTGCCTGGAAAAGTCCATTTTAATATTTGCTTTTAAATTAGTTTGCTTTAGTTGCTCTTTGGTTAAAATTTGGATCTCCAGAAACTCATTTTATAAGTAATCTGCTTACAATGTGAGAGAGCTTTTCAGTGATTTTTCTCATAGGTTTATTTTACAAAAATAATTCATTTGGGTGTGATGTCTACTTTGAAAATAGTGCTATTGTTTCTGAGCTTGCCTCTGTTCAGAACTAGCTAGTGAACTATTAGACTACAGTACAAGTTGCATATTGGGGCAATAATCTGAGAGTCAAATCTGGGAGTGATTCAAAATAAACATCAATTTAATCCAAGATATGAGTATGGTTGCTTAATGTATATACTATACAGGATTCTAAATTGAGTTACACTTCTGAATTTTTCCATTCCTTCATTTTAAGATATTTGGTCTCATCAGAGCTCCATCAGGAATTTAATAGTATTGTCCCTCAGAATGAGCAATAAGATACACTTCTGTTGAGGAAAGGGAGAAGGGCCATTTAAGAGAGAACTTCATCAGAGGAAGAGATGGAGAAAGTTAAGAACCCTGGCTGGCTGCAGCTCTGTGCTGTATCAGCTCCATTTGCAAAGGGGCAAACATCAATGCTGAAAGTCACATATTTGTAGTCATATCTGACTGTGTGCATCTGGTATTAAATGCCTGTAACTTGCTAGATACTATTTAATCTGAGTTGTTTTTCTTGATAAGTAACTTAAACACCTGTTTGAGGAGAGGATTGTCACTTTAATGAAAGTTAATAATCTTTTAGCACTGCGTGGTTCAGCTCACTTTCAGGTGGCTGAAAAACAAAGCAAGACAAAAAAACCCCTAACAAAACAACAAAAAACCCGCAACTCCTCAAAATCCCCCAATAGTTTGATTGAGACTGCAGTTGTGGATTTTTTTGGCTCATTTTCACCAAGAGATGCGTGACTTCACCAGGCTCAGCTGCATTCCTTACTATGACGAAGGAATTTGCTCATAATTTCAGGTGGAGAGTGAGAAATTATTCCTTATCTCTAAATTCAAAATAATTTTTGTCATCTTAGACTAGGTCACAGTTTTTAATGTGGTGGTTTATTGTTTGTTACTGTGTGGCTCATGCATGATGTTTAATTCAAGATTATGGAAAATTAATATCTACCAGAGTAATCTTATTTTTAGCTGCTATTCTTCCTTTGCAGGGCTTGCTACAGGAACTTAAACACCTCAAAATTAAAGTGGAAGAACTGGAAAATGAAAGAAATCAGTACGAGTGGAAATTAAAAGCAACTAAAGTAAGCAGAATACTTGGCATTTACTAATGACAGACTTATTTCAGACGGAAAGGGATGTGCTCCAGTTCTCATCAACATTTGCTTTTCTTACAATTGCCTTGTGTCAGGACCTACTATAAAGTCAAGTTTTCTTCAACCATCTTTGAAATAAATATTTTGGTTTAAAGTCTTTGTAGCTTCTTTTTGTGCCTTCTGCTCCCTCCCTGCAGTTTCCAGTCTTCTACCTTTTTGTAATTCTTATTTTTAAAAAAAGGGCGGGGGAAGAGGCATTTTGATTTACAAAAGACCTGTTCTGAGGAAAGGTCTCTTTGAAGGTTTTTCTGTCTTTTGTTGTGTAATGGTGACAAGCGTCTGTGCAATACACTTTCCAGACTGAAGAGGACAGACATACAAAGTTGGTTGGGTGTTCACTTACTATGGAATTTATTTTAATAGACATTAAGCCTAAAATACACCATTAGATCATATGCTTTGACTTCATGTATATCAAAGTGCATAGCTGCCTTACCCTTCTGTTGGCCTTAAATTCTGGAAAACTGCTGGATCGTAATCTGGAGAAACCCAATATTTGAAACATTTCATCATTTTCCCCAGTAATAAATTTTTCTAGTTCACCATTGTTAAACAGTTGCACTTTATTTCTAGGTTGAATTTTTAGCCCTTTTCCACTAGATTAAAAAGCACCTTATTGTTTTTCCCTGTTGAGGTACACTTTTGTGCTGTAATCACATCTCCTTTTATTTGTGTAGCAGTGTAATCCCTGTTCATACAAATGACTGGCTTTTTTGAGTTGTGGTTGGATCTTGGAAAAACATTCCAAGTTATTAAACTGAGTTTTCTTTTTAATACTTGATAGCTTGATCCAGAAATGACAGACAGCTATTATTTGTATTACCATTTCTTTCTTTTGAGAATTCTTAGATGAATATTGAAATGTTGCTATTGTGCCTTTTTTCCTATTAAGATAATAGCTCTTGTATCCATGCAAATGTTTTCTCTGACGTGGTGGAAATGAAGAGTCTTTGGGAAAATATTTTCTCAAGCAGTGTGTGGCCAGCTGCCAAGACAGATAAAGATTATGGAAAGTGTAGGAGCAGAATGAAAATAAGTGAGGACAATCATGAAGCCTATTGAGTGAGATTTTAGAGAGAAGAAGAATAATTGTAGAGATGGCAGGAATGAGACATTAAAGGAAAAGAGGGCATTTAAAAGAGCAATGAGATCAAATAGACTGGGGAGGCAAATCCAAGTCTGGTATTAAGAGGTCTGCAGCTTTTGTCTTCCTGTGGCTCCAGCTTCTTAGATGAGAAACTGGAATACTTCCATGGCGGGATATAAAAAGCATATTAGTCACTGGGAAGTGTAGGAGCCCTTCAGAGATGCAACAAGGCAGATTCTTCTATTCCATATGGAATTGCAGGCAGTGTGGTGATCTTTTGCTGCCATCCAGCTGCTTGCTTCCTGGTAAAAATAAGATCGTGTATTAGAGTAAACTAGTTCATGGTTTTCCCTGTGTGCTTTATGTTGTTTGGTGTTTTGCATTTTTTCCTGCTTTATTTTAGCATTTTGAGAAACTGGTCGCATCAGTGATTTTGTTGTTTGTTTCCTTTTTTCTTTCTTTTTTTTTTTTTTTTTTTTTTTTTAACTGCAAGGGGGTTGGGTATGAATGACAAAATAATTTTAATTTTCTATGTGTCTAAATAATATAAGACAAACATGAAAGTTCATTGTGGTTCTGGCTTGATACATATATATGTCATTTAAAAAAGCAAACCAGCAAACAAACCAAAAAAATTTAGAACTTCCCTCTGCCTGTATTAGGGGAAAGGAAAAGGGAAAAAGCAAGGGAAAAAGAAGGAAGGGGAAGCGTAAAGGTATAGGGAAGGGGAAAGGGAAGAGGAAAAGCAGGGCAGGGCAGTGAAGGGAAGGGAAGTTCGTATTGTCAGAAAACCATTATCATAATAAATTATGGAAATTTTGTAATTATGTTATTCCTTGCCTGGGAAGACTAGCTTCGGCATTTTTTTTTAAATTATTAGAAAGGATTGTGATAAAGTTTAAGCTTTTGAGCATAAAATTACCCTTCACAATGGCAACATTCTTTTTATTTTCTTCTCTAGCTTATGTAGGTTGGTTTAGCTGAATTAATATTTTAAGACTACAGAATAACTGCCTATCAAGGTCTTTAACTGCAAGGAGGTTTGGTATGCTTTTGCTAGGGGAAACGCAGAATATTGATATATAAAGGCTTGAAGGCTGCTAAAGAAAATCTGAATGAAGCTACTGAGTTAGTAAAGTTTGCTGTTGACAGTTTTTCTCATGAATAGGAAAAAGGGATGAGAGTCACTCTATTTCAAGCTGGACAATAATGGAATTCTTTTTCCCCTGTAATGTTGAGGGCTTAATGTGTGATATTCTATCCCAATCTAGCGGCAGCACAAATTGCAGTAAGTGTAAATGAATCACTGATACCTTGTTTCATATTGTTGGTTGTTTTCCAAGCCATGCTTTGCTTCTAGCCTATTGATGTGACGAAGAATGATTTTGTCATGCTGCTGAGAAAAGGGCTCAGCATTAATAGATTTGCAGTTATATTACTAAGTAGTAACTAGGATAAAAAAATAGTATCTTTTTAAAAATGCTTTGTTATCTTTTACTGTTCTTCATGCAAAACTCAGGAGTTGCCCTATAATAGTCATTATTATATGACCACCACTGTAGCATCGAGAACTTTCCAGAGTTTTTTTACCTACAGGAATCCTTGAAAAGTAAGTCTTTCTCCTTTGAGAGCTAATTGCATTGGAAGAAGTGAGCTTCTGTAAAAGGAATAGAATAGTAACACCATGAAATATGTAAGGTGGTTACAGCGTTCATGAAATGTCCTGAGTTGGGAACAGGACATGAGTCGAAGAAAGTGTTATGCTTAGAAGTCTTCTAGTTCATGGGAAAGAATCACAGAGAATTGGTGACGATGTTATTCTGAATTTGTTGCTCTCTCTTTCAGGCTGAGATAGCCCAGCTTCAAGAGCAATTAGCTCTCAAAGATGCAGAAATAGAACGTTTACAAAGTCAGCTCTCTAGGACCTCATCACATAGTGAAGTGGCAGAAAGAGGTAAGAGGAGGGGAATTAAAATTGAAAGTCCAAACCTCTACTTTAAGTTCACTTTGGTAGCACCTTGGCTCAGTATTTCAAAGGAATACAAAGAAATATAAGAATGGACTTAAATTTATTTTGGGAGGAAAAAATGGTGAAAATGTAATTTGTCTTCTGGTAGAATAGAGGCCTTTAATGTATGAAATTCTATCCCAATCCAGAGCCAGCACAAATTGCAATAAGTATCCTAAGGGGCCTGAAACTTTTTCTACTGGAATTTTATTTATAATTTGAAAGAGTCATTGTAGCTCAGTGGGAATATATTTTTGTGTGTGTGTGTATGCCTTCAAAATTTCTTTGAAAAATCTTTGCAGTTGCCATTTTTTAAGAAAAAAAAATTGTCACAGTGGTAGCTAAGCATTACATTTAAACATCCAAACATTCAAAAATGTAGTCATTGATTCGCATCTTTTCTTTCTTCAGGACTATGCATTGTTTAGGCTCCCTGTCCTAGCAAAGGCAAATAAACCAGTTTGTTTAGCCTTTGGTCTCTCAACCACTCGTGTCACAGTTCTCTGAAATATCGACTCCTTGGAGCTTCTGTCAGTTGCTGGGTTGTGGGCAGTATGATATTAGTGACCTTTTTCTTCTATAATACTGGCACTTACCCATGCAGGAATATTTGTGTGTAGTTGACAGCAGCGCATCAGCACTAACTTCTTTTGTGGGTGTTAACTAACGCTTCCAAAGAGTGCCCTTGTTGAGATGTGACTTTTGAGGTGCTGTGCTACCTCTTTCTCAGGGCTTACCGACAATCTCCTTACAGGAATTAATACAGATGTATCTTTTCTAGAAGACTCTGTATTTTGGCTGTTGTTTATTCCAAATAAGTGACTTAACATACACCTGGTGCTGATTTCACTCAGCTACAGAGCTTGTGCATGTAGAGAACTGCATGTCTAACTGGAAAATTAGTTTGTCTAACAGCATTGTTTTGTAGAGGAACTCTTCTACTAATAGAATTTTGTATTTTCTATGATATTCCAAATAATTTATATTATTTCAAGGGAAAGATAGAGAAGATTAGGGGTATGACAATAAATCAAGAGCTCAGCAACTCTTAGCTTCCAGTAGTGTTCTCCTGATCATGCTGAGGGTGGGTGAAAGTGTCCTTGATTCCAGTGGAAGAAGAATCAAATCCTGTACAGATTCTTCAGGCTACACTTAAGGAAACCACTTAGACTATATCTAAATGGAAACAGCATGCAGCAGTAATAATTCTTCTGCAAAAATATTACCGATTTATCAGTTTTATATGTGGTCTTCTGAAATAAAGTTGGAAAATAATAACAATGTACTTGTAGTATGCTAGAATGCATATTCTAATTAAATTGCAAAATTTATCTAATATGTGCTTTTTCTACATACTTTATTTGACTCTCACCATTTACCATCGTAGAGGAAGTTTATAGGAGAAGGCTAAAAGAAAAACGTAAGCCTCGCAATTCACTTTTGGCTTTATCTCACTGTTCCTTTCACACAAATTATAACTCAAATGCATTCTGCAGGAATAATGCAATGTTTGTTTAGACTTGGCTGTCTAACTGTAATATACATGAGACATTGCTTTCATTGCTTGCAGCAAGCAGACAGCTGCTTGCCCTGTTTGGTAAGATTTCACTTCAGGGAAAAAAATCAGAGGTTCACAAATCAGATAGTTGGACTTCAAAGGGACATTGTCAAGGTTAACAGAGCCAGAACTTAACCTTTACCTCTTTTCATTTGTACACATGTAAAATCAATATAATATTTGGAAAGATGGCTTTAATTGCAAGTTTAATTGAATGCTGCCTTCTTTGGAGAGGAAGGATTTGGGATTTTTTTTTTTTTAATCAGCGCACTAAATTAAAAAAAAAGTCTGGATAAAAATGTTTCCATACTTAATGTTGTTATAAATATTGTAAGTAAAGTTTGCTTTAATGTGCTTAAAATACCTTGACAACAGTTGGGTTTGAAGTCTAATATTTATAAAGAGAAATTAGTAGGACTGTGATTTTTTTAATTTTTTTTTAATGGCTTTTTAAAAATCTTCCAATTGCTTGCCCACTGCTTGCTTGCTTGTTTTTGATTTGGCTGTGCCTGTGCATGTCTTGTGTTGCTAAGTCTTCTCTTTTGCAAAGTTCATTTACATGTTTTAAAACTAAATAATTACAAGGCGTGTATTTTCCAGAATCACTACAAGAAAAGCTAATTACAGTTTTTGCCAATAGTCTAGATATGACATTGTATGTTCAACATCTAGTTGTAAAACTTTTTTCTTTTTAAAATATGCTCGTTAGCAATATTGATTTTTTTCTTTCTTCTCTCTCACTTCATGCCTGCCACATCTGGTTTTCATAGTCTTTTTGTGAAACAAGTGGGTCTGTTTTAATGTCAAAGCATGAATGCCTTGAGTGGCAGTTGCAGCAGATAAATTCTTTCAGCAGATAAACTATTTCAGGTTCTGTCTCCATCTCATCTAGACTTTATTTAGTATAGGTTTGTACTGGAGGACTTGCTAGGAATAATGTCTAGAGAAGAAATGAAAGATTTGGTTCAGCAAAGTTGGGATGACGTGATTAACAACCTCATAAATTTTCAGAGAGTGCGTTTTAACTGACTACAACATTCCTGAATAACCTCCATCTTGTAACACTAAATTGTGTGGGAAGCAATTCTGTATTAGCTCTTGATGTAGATTTTAACTCAGTTATTCATACTGAGATGCTTTAAGAAAAGAAAAAATTACAGTTTTTCCTTGTATCAACCTAGCTTTTGTTATTTTTCATTTCCAAGTTTTGTGAATGTCCTTGAACTACTTGTCATAAAGTGGTGAATATTTTTCCCAGATGGAATATAGGTAATTTTCAATCATACTTAAAACTATTTCCTTAAGAGTGTAAAAGAAAACGCACTCTCGTCTTTTGCAAAGTAAATGTCAATGTTTCTTTTTTATTATTACCTGACTTTTAGAGTATAAAATAATATTATGTAGCCTTTTATAAGCAAAACCAGCACATTTGTGTTGTGCGATGCTTTCAATCGTTCAGCTTTTGAAAAGCTCCAAGTTAAATGTGGTTTAACCATGTGTTTGCCATGCCACAGACATGGGTTTGCTTACTCATAAGATCATAGGGAGAGCATCACAAAACATACATTGTTTACACTAAATATAGCAAGTGTATTTTCCGTGTAACATTTAAAAAATATTTCTAGATCAAGAAGTTCAACGATTGAAGATAGGAATGGAATCGTTATTGGCTGCAAATGAAGAAAAGGTGAGAAAATCCTTGCTCTATACAATAAGAATGAAATGATGGGTTTGAATCTCTGTCATGATCTGAACAATGTCCTTTCTGTAAGCGTGATATAGCCCCGGTTCTTGGATTATCCCATGAGATTGTGACAGAAGGTTGAGTTTTTAAATAGAAATTGTGGCTGACCTTGCTAACCTGGCTGTGGAACTTGGGAGGCTCATTAGATTCCAGAGGGGAGTAGAAAGCCAAACCTGTAATGAGCAGAATCTCCTGGTTTCTGCTACTGAAAAGAACACTAAGGTTTGGTCATTTCTGACAGCTCTTCATCTTCCAACCTAATCTGAAGTGCATTGATAATCCCCAGTTTCATTGTGATATTAAAAGAAAGCTGAAGTGGCCTTTGAATAGGACTCAAATTTTGCAAGAAAGGGACCAGGATTTAGAGAGACAATGGTAAAATAAAAAAAAAAAAAGAGTATTAAAGGAGAGGATGAGTGAAATTAAACTCATTTAAATGGTAACTATGGTTTTTGGCTCTTACTACCTGCATGCTGTTTGCCTGTCAATTGGACAATTCATGTGCAAGGTGTAGGCTCAGTTTTGGAGAATGTTGAATCTCCACTTTCAGATGCCATTGACTTACTACATAAATTGTTCCTTACTTTTGGATTGGGGCGGAGGGAGTTGAAGGGGACTAATTCTTGTGAAAATTGTAATTCTTGTTTTATGATAATAAACCAGGCCATGGGATTTTCCTTTATGGTGTCACACTCGTATATGATCAAATAGACAGTAATAGACATCCCCAAAAACTTCCTTTAGTAAGTGGGGAGTCTGGGTACTGTACGATGATAATTCTGGAGAACATTAATGAGACTCATAACACATCTAATTCTTTAAAAAAAAAATCAAAAAGATGAAATTCACATCTGGAAAATAAAAGATGTAGCATTATCTTTTGCTAAAATTATTCCAAGACTGTATAAGATTTTTGCATTAGAAGGGAACACGAAATATTGTTGCTTATGTCCCAATATCTGGATATACTCACTGGGAAAGGAGGGTTATTTCCTTGGAAACTATAGCATTTAAAATAGTGGACTGATGGTTGACCCACAGCTTCTTAAATGTTTAATGTAGAACTGTTACCTTCAATAATATTGCAAAATAAAGTAGTCTTCCTGAGGGAAAATAGCTCTAAATAGCTTTTGGGATAACGCTAAATATTCCTTGTGTCATTTAGGACAGGAAGCACTCAACTAAATTGCTTGTAAGTGGTGCACGTGTTTCTTTTTTAAAAAAAAGGGTACGTTAGTCTCAGTTCTTTGCTGTGAAGAAGAACCTGTTGCTTCTAGCGATAGTTGGGATAACTGGGTATCTGGTTTAGGCCTCCTTGATATACTTGCTGAGGCATGAAGGGAGGATCAGCATCCCCTACCACTCTGTAACGTGGCAAAGGCCTGGTTTCTGTGCAGTTACTCCTACAACTCAGTTGGCATCTGCTGTAACATAGCATACGTGTACTGGAGCAGACTTGAAGTATCTCTGATGCTGACCTCACTCTGCAGCGCAGCAGCTCAGTATCACCTAACCACTTCATACTTGCCAACTTCCCTGGAAGGATGGTTTGGTTTTGTTTTTTTTTCCAGTGCCCACTTCTCTGCTCCCATGGCTTTCCTGACACCTGCTCGTGAAATCTAGTTCTTTATGACTTGCTTGGGTTTGCATTCAGTGCTCCGTAGTCGCAGTCCTGGGCAAGGTTATTGTGCAGGAATAGTTTAGAACTGGGGTCAAAGAAATAGGACAAACTGTCAGAGTGCAAATTGCATGATTGTGCAGTTAAGTGACCAATAGCGAGAATTTTGTATCATTGGGGATGCAATATCATATATTGAAATGAGAGAAATGACAGATCCAATCAAATAATGATCACTACCCATTGCTGTGTTGCATCTGTGCAAAAGGAAAGTGCCCTTCCTGAATATGCAAATCAAGATGATTTCTGTGCGTAACAGGAAAGTGTTAGGTATTGGAGAAGGAGTGGAGTCGGATCATGCATCAGATGTTCACAAGACCTCATTTCTTTGGTTCTGTACAGGTTTGCCTAAGTTCAAAAAGGTGTGTTCAAAACTGGTGTAAGTGTAGCTGTCAGAATGCAAAACATATCCTATAATAGAGGATTAATTAAAGAACATGACTAAACTGTACAAAACGTAAACGTGATTTGCTTTACAATTACAGGTACAATGCTAGCAAAAACCCAAACACTGCCCACTTCATGCAACTGAGGTTGAACCCCAGAATATTCCCTCAACTCGTAACTAATTTACTAGTGATGTCAAATTCCTTTGGCTTCCTTATATCCATGATCTCACACTGTCCAGCAACTACTATGTATGATGGCAAATAAAAGCCAAGAAATACTCTTTGCAAGGCATGTGAGAGACCTGATCCTGCTTTCTGGAAATGCAGGCCAAAATCACAGAAATTAATGTGTAATATGGTGTTTCTGCAGGTTAAACATCAGATTTTAAATACGGTTTTATTTCATGCTTTTCACAGGACCGCCGAATACAGGAGTTGACGCTGTTGCTCAGCCAGTACAGGAGGCTCAAAGAGATAATGACCGCAGCTCACGGTAAAACATCTTGTCAATAATTTCCTGATATCAGGTCTTTTAAAAACTGCATGCACTACAACTGCTATTTGTTGTCCTTCTAATTATTTGTGTATAGTAATAGTTATTTCATTATGCATGTATTTGTATCGCGTTGGAGTGCTATGAGAGCAAGCATACACTCTTTCAGATAGAGAACCAGTTATGTCTTGTGCAGGCTTGTGTGTTACTGCCTATAGCTGGCATTGTTTCCTGTGCTGTAGTCAGTACAACAAAATAGGGCCAAAACTGTCTGGAGATTTAGTTACACCATCACTGTTCAGCAAGACATCTGTGACTGAATCTTATGCTGAACTCCGTAATAGTCATAACCTAAAATTTGCTCTGCATCAGTTAATAGTAAATCCCTCCTTGGAGCCTCATTTTGGTGCTGTATGTTGTTTGACATGGTGTCATTAAGGCTTCTGATTGATAAGGAAGGATGACTGATGAGATTGAGCTCGTCAGTTGGGTCTTGACACACTGCAGTTTACTTCCTCATGTGCCAAGGCAATCTGAAGTAAGCAACTATTCTCCTTAAAACTCTTCACTATATGTAATGCAGTGGGGGGGGCTTTGGTTGCAGAACTCCTACATCCATGCAGCAATGGCTGGGTGGACAGCTGGGGCCATGGTTTTATCGGCTGCTTCATGCAGTCCTGTCCCTCCTCGCTGGTGGGACTCCTGTTTCCACACGCAGGCCCATGGCACACATCCCTCACAGCCAAAGCTTTGTACTTCCTTTTTCACGGCTGCTGGTTGCCATCCTCTCAGGTGTACATGGGTTGTGGAGGCCAGACCAAAAGGAATTAAAGCAAAAAGGCTGAAAAGGAGGGAGCAAACAGAAGGACACTCATGCAGACGTAGGATTTGTCGACACAGGGGCAATTAGGAAAGTTTATTCAAAGTAGCTACAGGCATGAGTTCACAGTATTCTTATTGAGTTGCTCTATAGCCCTCTACATGCATCAGATGAAGGCTGAAGGGGACTTTAGAGACTGAAGTATTAGACAGTCTGATATGGTCCTAAACATGTTTGGGTTTGGGTTTTTTGGCCTGTTTGTCTCCTTTTCTACTTCTACTCTTCAATGTTCACAGGCTCTTCTGTCTCTGGTGGCAATGCAGAGGAACTTGAGACAACTTTAAGGAAGTGGAATCTTTTGAATAATCTTCAGGGAGAATTATTTAAACCAGAGGTACTTAATAAAGATGTTTTAGAAGCAAGTTCTGCTGTATATGTGATCTGTTTGTATTGGTTTCTCTGCAGCACCTAAGGTAATGTAGATGAGGGTTTGGCCCTGGCTGAATTTTTGTTGGTTTGTTATGGGTACTATAAATTCAGAATCGGGCACTGGAGTTACAGGCTTGAAACTCTTGTATTTTACATAGGCCTCTTCAGGAGAATTGCCACCAGCTATGCTCTCTCCGGTGCCGCACAAAGCTATGGAAATCAGGCAAGACCTTTGTTTCTTGTTTTCTGGGTGGATTGTCCTAAGTCTGTATTTAATCTGTTTAACTGCTGGCATCTTGTCCTGCCTGCTCTTGGCTTTGCAAGAACTTTTGGGTAGTTGTGAAAGTGGTGTTTGCAATACATAATTGTATAAGGTTTGAATTACAGGAATAAATTGGCACTTTTATATATCTGAAGATATATGTATTGTAGTACTTAAATCAGTATATTTTATTCTGATTTAAAGTGGAAGCATTCCAGTATCTTCGACTAATTTAACCTCTTCCCAAGAAGAATCTTTGGAAACCATAAATAGGTAAGAACAAGTAACTTTAATTGAAATATAAAACATGTAGCCAGAATTTTTTTTATAATTCTGCCTTTTTCCATTTTAAAAATATTTTTAAAAGCCTTTAGCGTTGCAGACTGTTCACAGAGAGTTATTACTGTCTGCTTTTGCTTATTGAGAGCTTCTAAAAGCTATCTATAGATATAAGATTTAAAACTGCACGTTGTGCCTTGTTACCTTTCATTGTTGATCAAAGGATGTCTTGTTGCTGTTTCTGACTTTATCTATCGCAGTTCCCAATACTACCAGATTTAGGCTAAAAATATAACAGAAGAAATTAATCTCCTAATTCTGAATTGTGTGTTATATGCAGACGTTATGTGATATGTGCAGCTGTCATATGAGACAGTTGCGGCACATGCAAACATGCTGGGTTGTATTAACTGTTGTTTTTCTGCTTGTCATTATTTTTAGGATTCCACAGAAAAAAAAGTCCAGCAGTTTAGAAGACTTGCAGAGTGAATCCCTAGAAAAGGTTGGTCTATTTTAATCACAATTTCTGGTGTTTAATATCACGAGTAAAAGATAAAGGTCAAGTATAACTATTCTTTTTGTTTCACATACAGTAACCCTTAACCACTGCTAACATTGTATGTAAGAAAAAAGCCCTCATGATAAAACAGTTCAGGTTCTTTTTTTACCCCACTGCCAAGCTTGGAATCAACAAAGTAGCTGACACACCCATACGTACAGATCCTCAAATTCAGCTTTTCAGCTGAAAGAAAAGAAAAATATTTGAGAAATACAACAAATAATGTTAATTGAGGATCCATTTTATTAAACTGCAGTATTATTTTGTTTATAGGTAAGTGGTTTTAAATTAATTTTGGCTTCCAAATCACTAAAAATGTTAAGGCAACAAATCCTGAAAGTAATTAAATATTGGGACTGGGTATTTCCACATAGGATTCCTTTTTGAGTGTTTGCATGTAAAGATGAGTGTCACTCCCTAAGTTAGACTCCTGATGTAAATGGCATTCCTGAAGATGGTAGCAATGCTGCCTTGGTTAAAACAGCAGAAGCATCATTAGTAATTTGGAGGCCTAATCCCATTCCAGAATAAAGACTTTCCAATTTACAAAGTCTCATTATGTTACGGTTTTGTCGTTACGTACACTGAGATTTTTCTGCACTTGTAATTATGTTCTGTGAGATTGTTATTGACACTTTCTGTACTCAAATTTGGCTTAATACTAGATTACCCACACCCAGTGATCCTATTTAAAATGGATACGATAGTAGGATTGTTCCAGTTCTTCAAATTTTCTTTAATTTTTCTTAAATCTCTGAAGATGACAGTGATCAGATAGAATGTTTGAAATTTGTGTTGCACTTACTTGATTGTGGTCGTACACGTGATAAATCAGTTCAGAACTAACATTTCATTCCATGTGGAATTTATGAAGGTCTGTTTTCTTTTCATAATGTTCAAATTATTTTCCTGTCTTAAATTCAAAAACTTAATTTGCCTCTGTGATATGATGTGATGAGGCTGTGCCTACACATCCAGGCTGTAAATCTGCTCTATCTGTTAAATCAGAGTCCACAGAGGAACAAGAAACTACCAAGGATATGAGAGAATTGTAGCAAGCCCACCCCATGTTCATCAGGGCATTTAAATTGTTTGCCCTAATTTAGGCATGAGGCTTAGTGAAATAAATGAGATCTCCCCGTGCGTCTGAGTGAGCGGCCAAATGCCAATTCGTTACAACCAAAACCAAGGCTGACAAAACTTTTTTTACTGACTCAGCATGACAAGACTTTGCTTCTTGCACAAAGTCCAAGAGAACCTGTGCTAGCAGCACTGCTTACTGGAGCTATTCTGCTTTGCGCAAATCTCAAATTCCAGTTAGGTCCAGCAATAATAAAATAAAATAAAACACATTGGTGTCTCTGGCCCAGCCATGCCAGTGATTCTTATCGCTTTGTTTCTATCACGGCTCTTTATGGTTTCAGCTGGATACACACAGTCTTGTGTGTGTTCTTTTTTTATGTGTGTCATTTCCGTATTGCTTTAACTGTTACACAACTGTTATGTTCCCAACTTAAAGTCAGTCTAAAGGGACCACCCAGAAGCCTGAAAATAGAAAAATTCCTTTGATCACAACAGAACCTGAACAGGGCCCGAATTGTGTAGCATGGTTTGAACAAACCCATTTAGTATTAAATATTTAATGGAAATGAAATGAAAAGATAACAGACCTTGTAATACATTGTCAAGGCATTAAGTAGCATCACTACAGTAACAAGACTACAACTGATTTTCTGTGTATGTATGTTAATACTAACATTTGTCTGTTGCTTTTTTCCATAAAACTTTGAAATTGCCCTCCCTGCAACTCCGTAGCATGTAGACGGAAAACCGGTACAGCCTGTTGTAGAACAAGAGGTACATTAACTGTAAATTCTCATTAACATTTCTCTGTTGTGGTGTGCTGGGATGGTATGGCTGTGTTTTCATTATTTATTCATTTTCTTTTTAAAACATTTGCATAGTTCAGATACTGACAAACTCTGGGAATGGGGTGACGATTTGAGAGGGGAAATCTTTTTTTTATCTGAAAGCTTTTATGTGAGCTTAGAAGCTGAGGTCAGCCAATTTCAAAGAATACAGTGCTGATTTAATAAGCAATTTTCTACTCGTAGATTTTTTTGGTACAAGTCAGGACGTGCTCCTGCAGTTGCCAAAACGGGAGCAGGGGGTGAGAATTGAGGAATCTGGACTGCAGTTACAGTATCACAAAGACCCCTCTAGGACTTGACGTAAGAGTAGATAAACCAGTGGTTCTCTCGTTAACTACTTCAGGCATCATCCTGCTACAGACAATGTTTTCAATGTTTTAATAACAACTCTGTTAGAATGGGGTTACTAAACAGGAGAACTTCCTTTCTGATGGGGAAACATTCACTGATACGAGCTTATTCCAAAACACCCACTGAATGTACACCGCTCCCACTAATGTCAGCTGGAGCTGCACGTTCATTGCCTCTCTGGAGAAGCTTCTCTAGCCCTAGACCTTTGACAGCTGTGGGATGTACATTTTTGTCCAGAGCGACGGTTCCTTCATCTTTTCATTTGCATTTAGTATTGAAGTCTCAACGTGCCACTTCCAAAACGGTAGCCAAGTACCTCTGTGAAACACATTGGCTGGAAAAGTATCTTGTTAGGCTCAAAACAGATTTATGTGCAAGCTATAATCTACCCTTGTACAGGGAGCAAGATTTTCCTGAGTAGTCGATCACTGAGAAACTGAATGCAAGGAAAATTAAGAGCTATTCTATTTTTAGCAAACCCTACATTCCAGTTCCCTTTCGGTACAACACACGGAGACTTTGAGGACCCCCTCTGTGAGCCATGTCGCTGTTGGAAGGGAGCTCGCTGACGCTAGTGACGTTGCACGCATGTACCACAGCCCCGGGCAGGCGCGCGTCGAGCTCTGTTTTAGCCTGCCTAGGCAGAAATTGCAGTCAGCAGCCATTCACACTAGCCCCAAAATACAGCTCAGTCTATGCTTTTTTTTTTTCCCACCCCAGCATATATCAAAAGTACACCCTGTGCTTTGGTTCTAGAATAGAATTGGCAGTTACATATTTAGCTATATATTTGGCAACTATATATTTAGCTATAATTTTTCTTAAAAACCTCAGATTTGTAATCTGTGCAAAGATATCTTAATTCTTACAAAAGTGAAATTTCTGTAGCCTAACTTCCTTGTTGATTCTTTTCCTGTTATTAATGGTGGTGGGCAAATATGTTTGACCAAATTTGAGTTATACAAATACTTTTGGCTTAAATTCCAGCAAGACAAAATTGTGAGGCAGAAGCATAGACAGTCGGTGAAATATAGGGGGGGGAAATTGACAGAGCAAAGAATGGGCTGAGACGTAACTAAATGCATTTCTGGTACTATCAAAGTTGGCCTTGGAAGGACCCAATTATTATAGGATGCCAGGGCCCTAGAGGAAAGGGAGACAGCTAGAAAAATTCTGCTGATAAAAACAGGTAATATTCAACCTATATTCTAGTGTAATACAGGGTCTGGCTGAAGTGGAAGGGGCAGATGAGGAAAGAGAAGGCTGCGTCTTAGCTAGAAAACTTTGTCAGCTGACTATTGGACTTAAATTGAATCATCTGTAAGAAGGAACACGGAGGGGGTGGTGTCATTTTGAACCGTGAACTTCAAAGACTGTTTCTCAACTTTCAAAATACTGCGTACTGGATTGCAAGCGCTATGAGTGATTTGATTTTTTTAATTTATTTATTTTGGTTTTTCCCTCTTAAAAAAAACAGAGTAAGCCAGCTGTGAAAGGCAGCAAGTACCAAACCTTGCCAGGAAAGCTGCCTCGAGCCTTGCAGAATGGAGAGCAGGGAACGTACAATTTGCAGGACGGGTGTGGCGTGAATGACGAGGACAACGGCATCCTGGGCCTAAGTACGTACCCACGCCTCGTGGAGAGGGTTGTGCAGGAGGGGTAAAAGCAAACTGTTTGAGGGCTGGGGACATAACCTGGTATATACTCTGCCCTGCCAGTGCTCACATGAGTCAGTTAGGGAAAGTTCTACTTTTTTTTTAAGAACATACCAAAAATATTTCACTTTAGCTCACTGGAGAGTAAAGGATGGTTTTCAGTTAGAGTGTTCTCTTCTGTTGCACTTGATGATATAATTTGCTGACATCATTGATAGCGTAAGTAATGAAGAGACACCCTTTTGAAGATTGCGGGGAGAGCATTCTGAAAGTCAACAAATCTGTAAATAAAAATTGGAACTTTTAGAGATGCAGACATATTGACAGTATGACTAAGCAGTATTTTTCTAGACACACTTCCAATGCTGAGCTTGCTGATCTGGTCCCTTAAACAAGCAGGCAAACAAAAATGCACAGCCAAGTACACCAATACTTTTAAAAAGTGTACGCTGGATTGGTGTATTAAAACAAACCAACCCATCCCTCGCCATCCCGTTGCATTTTAGCGTGTGAAACTTCACAATACAACTAGCACAAATGTGCGCGTTTCAGGCAAAAATCCCAGGATCAGCGCTATCGCAAGTGGAAAACCAACTTGCTAGGTGCAGGAACACATCCATGGATTTTGAAGATACGAGTATATTGTTATTCCACAGCCATAATCCCATGTGGAAGCCTATATTAATTTCTCTTCAGTGACACCTCAAGCATAGATTTATTGACAGAAAGTGTCGTGTGAGGCACAGAACCAGGTATCTGCCAAGGGCTGCGGAGCTTGGGAGCTCAGGCACAAGAGTATCCCTTGCGATTTTTGAAGTGTTCCAAAGCTTTAAAAGTTCTGGTGGTTTGTTTGTTAGTTTGTTGGGCTTTTTTGATTGTAAGGCCTTATGGTCCTAAAAGGTGGTAGGGTCCTCTAGTTTCAAGATTTCAATAGGTTGTGGGTTGTTTAGGGGTTTTTTTAAAGAGTTTTTTCTGTGATTGCTACATTGAAGGCAATGCATGAGCCATGTTATTGTGTCTTTAACTGCAGGATTATCCATGGATGGGTGATCTTGTAAAGGAAAAGGTTTTTTTTCTAGAAACAAACAATGACTCCTTAAATACACTGAATTAACAGAATTGCTTATGCAGGTTGGTTTGTTTCTTGCATGTGCAGTAAACTCATTACACCTCCAATTCTGTAGTTCAGAGGAATTTGATGTAACCTTAGACATTGCTTCATTTCAGATGTTCTGCATGGAGCTCTGTAGTTAAAATTGTCTAAGAGTAGTTTAAAAAAAAAACCAAACCAAAACAGAACAAAAAAACCCAAACCACAACAAATGGTCATCCCTGTCTATTTACGATGACCTGTATGGAATTCTTGGGGCTTGTGCACACCAATGCATATTCACTTTCATGTCAAGCATAATTGCTGCTTTTCTTTTTTGTTTCTGCTTTTAATGCTTAGCTTACTTCTTTGCTCTTCTGTAACTTTATTTTGCTGGTGTTTTATATCTTCTTTGCTTCTTCATCTGGCTTTCTGCTTCTTGGGATGACTGAAGATCGCATCAGGAGTGTCAGTGCGCCAGTGCTAGGTACTGTATCCAAACATGATGCAACTTTAACATGAATTTTGCTGCTGACTTTTTTCCTTTCCTTTTCCCCTCCCTTTCCTCTTTCTCTATGAAATACTAATACCAAAGGGGCCATCCCAATTGAATTCCTTGCGTGCAGTGCGGAAATGAAGTAACAGCTTCTGCTGTATGGCAGTCAGATGGGATTTTTTAAGATACTTATTCCTTGTTTCATTCTGTTTTCACTGAAGTCAACAGAAAAATTCCCACTGATCATGAGGGAGGAGTTTTGGTATTAAGAATGGGCAAGGCAAGAGGCTGAAGAGTCTGCTTCAGCCTGAAGACCTTGAATGATTAAAATAATGTCTTTAAATACAAATGACTGAAATAACAACACTATTTTATCCATTGTTTTATTATTTTCTTTTTTTTGTATCAAGTGTAGAGCTGCAATTTTTTTCACCTTCTGAGCATGTTTTTTTTTAATACAAGAACAATTTTATAGATATCTTTACTTTTTTATTATGTTCTGCATTTAAACATTAGTCTCCCAGATAACAACTTTGTATAACGTGATTACATTACTGTTCTTACTCCAGGAGAAACAGAGAACGTGGATGGTACGGTAGTGTCAGATGACCTTTCACCTCTTTCTTCGGGAACGGATTCAGGTCCACAATCTCCGTTGTCTCCAGAAAACAGGAAGAGTCCAAAAGGGATCAAGAAAATCTGGGGAAAGTAAGATCATATTTAGTTTTTAGTTTCCTGTCAAAGCATTTGAGTTGAGAATGAATCCACTTTTCAGCAAAAGCCGCACTATCTACAGCACGAACAAAGTAAAATCCAGGGAAAGGAGGCAGAGCAGCCGTGCGGCTGTACGGGCGCCTGTCTACGTACACACAGGTGCAGAAAAACGGATGGTAGTGTTCACAGCGTCATGTTGTTGGAAGAAATATGTTCTGCTGTCATATTATAATGCTAATAATTAGAATGCCAAGAGTTTCACTAGCTCTGAGGAATTAAATGACAGCAAGTTGCTCATTTCAGAAGCCATCAGGTAAAAAATGAGAGAAAATAGAAGAAACAGGAAGCAGGGGGCTGAGTTTTACTGTGCTTGCTTTATCTGCTTCAGGACAGCAGACCCTTGGAGCCTGGCCTCCAGCATGGGTTAGTGCCCCGGCTGACAGGCCACGCCTGCTCTGCAGAGCTGCTTTCTTTCCTCAGAGTTAGGTCCAGACAGTGTTTGCCTGGAACCTCTTCAGCTGCCACTCAAATTGGATGTTTGCGGTTTACAGGAAGATTAGTACAGCTTCCAGTTGTCTTTAGTTTCCATATGAAACGAATGTTCTCTGTTGCAAGCTAACAGTACGATCTTGGCACTCTTGTCTTGAAAGAATAAGAAGAACTCAGTCGGGTAACTTCCCTGCAGACGATCTGGGTTTGGCAGAGTTCCGAAGAGGTGGTCTCCGTGCAACAGCTGGACCTCGGTTATCCAGATCAAAGGAAACGAAAGGCCAGAAAAGGTAAATGGTTCCTCCTTTACCTTGCACAGTGTATTACGCGGTATTGTTAAATGTGCAGAACAGCCAAACCCTCTGCTTGTGAAATGCATTTTTCCCAACATACTTCATTATACGTGGAATCCCACAACAACTGGTAGGAAATTCCACAATTCTCTGATAGGAAACGTAGCTCGCCTGTCTGCAGTCCTTCAGCTGCAGGTTGCAGCACTAGCTGTTTGTTGGAGTGTCAAAAAACTTCACCTTGTTAAAGAACAAGAAATCTTACAATCTCCTGTGGGAGTATCTGCAAAATGATGAGGATTCAGCAATTCCCTTTTTCCTCTTTTCAAACAGCAAATGGGAAATACTCATTCTCTGTTCCTGAGTGGAGGCTGGGCAGTCGAATTACCTGGATGCTAGCACAATGGTGTATGCTGCAAGAAGGGCTGCTGGCTTTTATTCTTGCACAGAACAAAGCCCGCTAAAGCATAGGCTGTAATGCTGCCTCTGGCACATGACGAGCTTTCTGATAATACCCGTAATTCTTTCCTTTAAGAGTTTCAAACATTTCTTGTACTTCTCAGTGACTACAACGCTCCATTTGCTCAGTGGAGCACTGAAAGAATCTGTAACTGGCTTGAGGACTTTGGTCTCGGTCAGTACGTCATTTTTGCACGGCAGTGGGTGACTTCGGGCCATACGCTGTTAACTGCAACACCTCAGGACATGGAAAAGGTAATCATCTCTAGCTCATTTCTCTCAAGCAACCGTACGTGCTGATTCTGTACAGCCAGGCCCCTTCAAACAATGGGCAGCTCTGCTTTTCTGAAATATGCAGTACCCATTTTTGTAGATACCCAATAAGAGGAAAAGAGCCAGAGGCAAGGCAAACTGTTTGTTAACGGTTATTGTTGCAGGAAATGGGAATAAAGCATCCACTGCACAGGAAGAAATTGGTTTTGGCCATTAAATCAATAAATGCAAAACAAGATGAGAAGTCTGCACAACTCGATCATATCTGGGTGACACGTGAGTGTTGGAACTATTGTGGGATTGTTTGGAAAGGAATTTCCCCCACCTATAGATGGGCTGCTTGAGTAATTGTTTAAGCAGTTACCAAGCATATTTTAAGAGCACTAAGTCTCAGTTTAGTAAGATTTTCCATAGAATGAGGGTTTTTATGTTGTTCTTGACATCCAAATATACAGCTGTGCGGTATGATCTTCCAAGGAGAACTCTGTAATTCGGATTGCAGGGAAGTAAATGGGGGTGTGGGGAGGGGTGGGGGTAGTGTCAATCTAGCAAGAGCTACCTTATGATGCAGAAGGCAGGCGCTCAGTCACACGTGGTACGTAAATTATCACAGGGGTATTGCGGGCAAAGCTGGTTGGTGGGAATTGCTTTTAGGCTGCCCTTTGGGAAGGTGGAACGAGCTACCTGAATGCCTCTGAAGAAGCCAGCCCAGACAAGAAGGGCCGAAGGGCTTCATTCGCGCTGATCTGGATTTGGGAACACCACTTCTTGTATCTGCAGGATGGCTCGATGATATTGGTTTGCCGCAGTACAAAGACCAGTTTCATGAATCCAGAGTTGATGGGAGAATGTTGCAGTACTTAACTGTGGTAAGCTAAAATCTTTTTTCCTCAGCTTAACCAAATCTAACTTGAGGAGCAAAGAATTTTACATTTTTCCTTTCAACAAGAGCAGTTAAAGACTTCTTTGCAAGACAGAAATAGTGGCAGTATAACTCATTTGTGTTGTCTAGTGCACGGTCACTATCCTAAGGTACATACAGTCATAGGGTACGTTACAACTTCCACCAAGCCTTTCTTTCAGTATCACACAGCACACCACGATTAAAGGTAAAATGACCTATTTTGCATGCAGCTTCTGGAGCGTGTGGTGGTCTCCAGACCAAGTTAGTGTCAATATTCAGTGAACTGACGAGAAGCAGCCAATCCAGTCATTTGCACGGCTCCGACCGCATTAGCAGCAAAAACCATGCACTACACACACCACCGTTTTCTTACAGTTTCCCCGCCTGGTTTGGATAATTAAGTATTTGGTTTTGTTCACTGTGCTATGAAAAAAATGCTTAATTTAGCTGTTATCAAAAGTACAGCCTTGTCTATGCTGCTTAAGGACCTTTGTTATGGGAGCACGGTCCCTGCAGTTCCATGGCTAGGTGTGCGTTGCTAGCTGCAGTGATCCCACCCGCAGCAGGATCTCAGCCAGATCAGAAACAGTCCAAATATTTTAAAACTGTCCATGAGCCTGGATTTTACTTAATGGGCTACAAACTCTCCTTCATTTTTTTTTAGCCAGGTGTTGCTATGGTGAAATGTTTAAAAAACAAAACCCAAAAAACAACCAATACGAAAACCCCCACCCTAAAACTCCCTCTTTAAAATATAAACTTTTACTTTACCTAAACCGTAGGTACTGTGGTTTATATAGAACTACAGAGCAAGCTTAAAAATCTTTCTTTCTGGGGAAAGTACCTGGTCTGGTATGTATTCCGTGCCAGTTCAAAGGCTCTCTCCTTTGCAGAATGACCTTCTTTTTCTGAAAGTCACCAGTCAGCTGCATCATCTGAGCATTAAATGTGCCATCCATGTGCTGCACGTCAACGGTTTTAATCCCCACTGTCTACGCAGGAGACCAGTTGAGGAGGTAAAAGTACGTTTAAGTAATTTAATTTAAACAAGCACTGATTACCTGATTCCAGCCAAGGGGGACAGGAAGTTAGCAGTGTACAACGATGCAATAGAATCCCTGCTACAAGGGAATCGTGCCTAAAGCAGTAGATACATGGCTTTCCAGCTCTGGAATGTAATGTACTCACCCGTAATAAAAATCTACTCATTCCTTAAGTGCTTGAACCACTCTTACTAGTTGAATTTGATGCACTTCCCTTTAGAAATTATTTGCTTAGTTTAAAGAAGTTGATTCAACTTCCAACAGAGCAACGTGGATGTTTTTTCTTGCCTGTCCTGATTTTTAACTCTCAAAGACTGTAAGGTTTCTGCCTTACCTGGTTGGCATAGCCTGTTCTCTTAGCATTAAAGACTGACAATAACATGGTTCTGCAAATGCTCCCTTTTTTTTTATACATAGTCTCTATTGTTATACTACGTGATGCAATATATGGGGTTTCATCTGTACTAGGCTATGCCCACCGTCTCATCAGAGGGTGTCTGAAAGAGGCCTTGAACAGAAATAATACCTTAGGATCGGGGAAAAATTACGGCTGTCTGAGGAAGAGGAAGAATGATATTTTTATCTGAGCTGAGGATACATATTGTGAGCATGCAGTGACGACGCAGGCTGTATTATCATCACCTTTTCTGATTACTTTAACAGAATAACGTTTCACCCTCTGAAGTAGTTCAGTGGTCCAATCACAGAGTGATGGAATGGCTCAGATCAGTCGATCTGGCAGAATACGCACCAAACCTTCGAGGAAGCGGCGTGCACGGTGGCCTGATTGTAAGAATTCATCTTAACATTTTCCTACATGTCTAATGAAAATTGACAGACTGTAATATAACGCATCTGTTATCTGGTGCTTGTCAAGCAGGAGGGAACAAATAGAGCTGCAATATGACAGCATGATCAGGCCTTCTAAAGAGCCTCTGTATCTGATCCACGCACCTTAATTTTAGAAAGGAAAACTAAAAAAGAAACTTCTAAAATATTTGTTATAATCAAAGCTGAGTTGTGCGTGAGTGTTTAACAGCAGGACATAAAAAACTAAAACAGTACCTGGGAAAGTTACTTACTGATAAGGCATCGCTGAGTCTTTCTTTGAGTGGTTTTGGTAGAATTCTGAGCCACAGTAAATAACTGTCCTGGACTCGCAGCAGTCTTGTCAGCAATCAGGAATGACATTTTTTTAATTCAAAACATTCAGAGCTATTTGCAACTTAGTAAAGTCAGAATTCTGAAATACCATGATTCCAGTGCCGTAGAACTTTTGCAGAAATGAAATAGAAAAAATCGTGCTAAAATTAAGTTTATACTCTCAGAGTAGAGCAGAAAATTCTGAAAACACATTTGTTCAAATCCAAACAAATGTAAGGTTTGATGATAAATGTGAAGAAGCACTTGCCTGACCACGCTCTGCATTTCTTAGTGCCTACTTTCATGCATTTGCCATTCAAACCCTCATGAGTATCACATCGCCAGTGAGGTATAAAAGGTGTAACATAGATAGACAGCTTAGTAAGATGAGAAATCCCTCTGATAAGCACTGTAATGGTTTACTATTGCAAATATTTAACTGTATTAAAAAACAAATATTCTGCCATTTTTTAATAGATTCTCGAGCCTCGCTTCAATGGTGACACACTGGCAATGCTGCTGAATATTCCACCACAAAAGACCCTCCTGCGACGCCACCTAACAACCAATTTTAACGTATTAATTGGACCAGAAGCACAACAAGAAAAAAGAGAAATAACGGAGTCAACAACATACACACCTCTCACCACCACTGCCAAAGTTCGGGTACGTACTGCTCTCAAAAAGGAGAGATTTCAGAATTTCAGACTTCCTCTCCCCTGCCTTATAAAGAAAATAAGGGACAAACATGGGCAGGCAGAGGTGAGTTCTAGGAGTGTTACAGTTTCCTTAATTCTAGATACCAAAGCATTAAATAATTTGTATCTGTTTAAATCAGCTTCTGAAAGAAACATTGCAATCCCTGCCATCTTTTTGTAGAACGAATACTCCCTAAATGTATTCAGAATCAACTGTAACTCCCAATTTGAAAACAATTCAATTTATTCAGTTCAAAATCTACACACTTAAAGGACTAGGGTATAGCAGTTAATCAAAAAGGAAAGGATTTTAAAATTTAAAGGACAAGCTTATTTTTCTTATTTAAAACTTGTTGTCTTTTTATTTTAGCCAAAGAAACTTGGATTTTCACATTTTGGAAACTTAAGAAAAAAGAAATTTGATGAATCAACGGACTACATTTGTCCTATGGATACAAACCCAGCTGCTACCAACGGTACTCAGAAATACGGTGGATACAAAGGACTTAGTCCATTCACTGATAGGGACCTGGATCAGGTGGGACAGACAGACTGACACCATTCTCATCTCATCCTGCCCATGCATTCCAAAGCTTGCAAATAACCCAAAGTTAGCATATAACAACGTATTTGCTACATGGCATGAACTCATTGAGAAAGTATTGGCTGTGGACACTGGGAAGAGTTCTGTACTAAGAATGCCAGGTTAATTTTTTTTTAATCAACATGATAATAAACTCAACTCCTCCATCTTCAAGCCCTTTTTCAGGAATAGAACACCTTTACACTACGAAGATTGATGTCTTTTGACAATTAAGGTGGAGGTTGCAGTAAACAACACTTTTGTACTTCTAGCTTTCATAATCTGAGTATGGCATGCTACTTTTTTCATTATCTTTATGGGTGGTTTTTAATGTAGTAAATTTATTTGGACAAATTTGTACAAAGTTATCAAGTTCTATATTAAATACAACTGGATTGTATATTTTTAACAGACGTTAATCAAAGAATCCAACTGAATTTTTCTTTCATTATGTACAGTGGGGAGTAGTTATGCTTAGACAGTATATGTGAAAATAGTGCATCAGTAATGAAAAAGCTGATTAATAAACCAATACTTAAATAATTCACTTTTGTTATGTAGTAGTGAACTTGTGAACAAAACTGTCTTGACATCATACAGACAAATGATGACTAAAACCCATCAAATTTTATTCAACTTTGCTGTTGTGTAAAGGGATATAAACCCTGAAAAATGGAGCTCCTGGAGGCTTGTGTGAACTCTGGCAACACGCAAGAGGCAGCTGGGGTAAACTGTCCTACCTCCGGTGACCTTAAGTGAGATAAAAACACCTTAAGCCTAGAGTAAGGGAATGGTCACAAACTTGAAAAGACTAACTGTGAAAGTAATTTTTTCGTTTGCATGATTTACTGCATCTAACATCTCATTTCATTATCTAACCATTGTCTTTTTCAAAGTACACTTAGCAAAATACTGTTCCTAAGTAGGCACAATGCCAAATCTTGACTATAGTATCTTGCACAGTTAAGAGTTGCAAGTGAATGCATTAAGTCTGAGCCAACAGCTTATGCAGTTGTTCAGGCACTACAGGAATACTGGATTTTTCTCTCGGAGCATGGCCTTTCAGCTAAGCATGACTTCGGAGCATGTGGTCATGCGGCGCAACCTCAGGGCCCTAGAACTGACAACCTTTTTATATAAGAATAGGTAGGGCTGTATCATGAAGGGCTCTTACTGCTTGCCTGTGGAAAACGACTACTAAAAGTATAATAAGTGTTACGCCACCTGGAAAATATTACTCTTCTCTGATAATACCAGTTAAGCTTTTCTGTTCCTTGTGCGAATTACAGCTCAAGTTTCATGGAATCAATCTTCCCTAATCAGGATTCATTCCTCCTATCGTTAATGTTTTTTCATATACCTTACAGCATGGAGGCATTTTTGTTAATGTGCAGAAATCACAGCTTTTAAATGTACCACGCCTTCGTTTGTCCAGGCACAGATACCTCCCAAAGATGCATGTAGAGTGAATAAAATTGCACGTACTGCCTGATTTGAACTGGTTCCTGAATACTTTTACAGATGGAACATTCAGAAGGAACAGTAATGCAAATAGGGGCTCTCTCTCAAGGCATAAGCCACCTGACGGTATGTACTAATTTCACTCTTGGTTTAAAGTCACAAATGTATTCTGCTAGTATTCAGTGAAAGTTGGTCATTGCTGGTGGTAGTTAAGAGTATGTGGGTCATTATTCTGGTTAAGTACCTCTTTATAGCCTGGTTGTGCATTCACAGTCCAAAAAACCCCGATTTTAAATTGCACTAGAAATTAAGACTCCTTTAGCCCTATTTTAAGTTTTCTTGAGCTCTCTTTGACCCAATGACAGCCCCTTAAATGTAAACAATTCTTCAAAGATTTTGCAAGTAACCACCATCGAATGCCTCAGTCACAGCAAAGTCTAGCAAAGAGGTACAGACTTGAAAATTTACATCAGCTAAAACTCCACAGAAAACAAACCAAAAAAATTCATTCTATTAATTCCTGACTCCATAGCAGCTAAATAAAAAAACAACCAAAAACCCAACAAAAAGCTGACTGAAAGGTACAGTGAAGAATTACGTAACAGAGTTGAGTCACATGCCACACACACAATCTCTGTGAGAATTTCCTTAAGCAAATAAGTTTGTTTAAAGCTGCATTCAAGAAATTCCATTTAATTTTATGTGGCTCTAACTCCCTCTGTTGTGAATCTGATCTCATTACAGTTGGATTTCTATAACTATAGGCCTCTTAACTGAACGTGCTTACTCGTTCATACCTTGTTTTTCCAGACGATGTTAAGCCAAGATGAAATGCTGAATGACAGCAGATTTTTAACACCTACCTTTGAAGACTGGAGATGATGCTTCAACATGACCAAGAACACTAATACCTCATGCCTGTCCAGAGGGATGGCCAGGAGAAGCTTGATGCTGTGGTGCAGAAAAGCTTTACCTCTTTTCTGCCAATGAGACTTGCCACGTAACAGTTAATATTGTCAATGTAGCAACACGTTACAGGTAACTCTCCTCCACGCTGGTTTCTGTATTTGGTAACGCGAAATAGGTGTTGAGAGAGAAGCGGCACTCATCCAGGGTCTGGAAAGCCAAGACTGGCAACACGTTTTACCCTTCTATTCAGCCATCTTTTATGTGGTATGTTTATGTACTGTTATATAAAGAACTTTTGTAATTTTTTTTATTTTTATAATTAACTTGTAATGCAGGAATCATTAATACTCTATTGTACCACATGAACTAATCAGAGCCACCTAGAAATTCAGAGGGATGCTGGTGAGTGCAGCAGTAATGGCTCACTAACTACTACTGCAGTCTTGCCAAAGACTGTTTCTCATAAAATTATTTTAATCACTCATCCCTTTCATTAGCTCATGCCCTGCCCTCTTTATGTAGATAAGTGCAGCGTAGCATGGGAAGAATGGACCACAAGACTATCTATCAAGCCCTTGCTTTCCTCAGGAGGATGACAATCAAGATGGCACGTTACAAAGCTTTATCTAACTCAAAAAGGCACTGACCAGCTACAGCAGGAAATGTAACTGAGACTACCAGGAAAAATGATGGACTCAAAAGCTGGTACTTCATTTAAAGTGATTGGGTTTTTTAATCATTTCATTTTTACATGTGCACTAGGATGTTCACAATCAAGGAGCAATCACAACACTTAACTAATGTAAAATGTAACTTTAAGAATGGTGTTCACCACACTCTGTAGGGTAAGCGCAATTTTCAGCACGATCCGTTTTTTGGTTATAAATGACAGTTCTTTAACTAGAACTATTGGATGGGCTCCTGTACACTGACATTTTGCCTAAAAGGGGTGGTACTGACACACATGTGCAAGCATCAGGATGCTCATAAGCCTTCTGAACAGCCAATATAAGTTCAGACAAAGTTTTCTGAGCCCCATACCTGGCTGGTCTGAAACATAGCACAGGCTCTCAGGAAGACAGGGATGGTAAGAAGCCTGTTTTCTTTCCATAGTTACACCTAATTAAGCATATGGCTGCAAACAGCCCTAAGGACTGGAGATTGCAGTAGAAATACTTCTGTAATGTTTGCATGAGAACTGGTGATGTTGTAAACAACATTGCTGTTCACTTTCAGTTCTGAAAGAAACTCCTTTTCTTTTCATTCCAGCTACAGATAGATTTTCATGGAATAATTTATTTAGGAATAGGAGACAAACATTACTGCTCTGTGATATATAGGAGACAAACATTACTGTTCTGTGATGTGTAAAATGTGACTAAGGAGCATCAGGCAAGTATCATAATAAAACAAATTTTTGTTTTTTTAAGACACCTGACAAAATAGATCTGTTGCTATTCTGCTGAGCTAGGCAGGACTGCAGCACTGTAACAGAGGGAAATATGGAAATGTTTGAGGATGAAAGTGTCTCCTTTACAGTAGCAATTGCTTGTGGCACCTGTTGACCTGTGCCTCTCATGTATTAATAAGATATCTTAGTAAACAGGGAAATGCCAGAAAATACATTTGCTCAGTTGTAAAGAAAAGACTTGGTATGTACATGGATGGTTTCCATTACTCTCTCCTTGCTGGCTGCAGGGTGTTGGTTTACGTATTAATGTAGCCTGAGGGCAGGTCACTCCCAGCCACAGCCCTCTCACATAAAGGGGAAAGCTCAGGTACTGTCCAGAGTGTGCAGCAGGGGCTCTTAGAGAGCTCTCGGGCACTTTTTAAAGGTGACCTATTCCAGTCCTCACTCCATGAGCCTCTCGCGACAGACCCTGCACTGTATGATTGGATTTTAGAAGCTAAACACATGATTTTTGTTGTCCAAAATGGTAAAACCAAGGCAATTTTTTTTCAAATCACTGAACAGTGAAATAATAATGGAAAAATGCAAAGGAATGAGAAGTCAGTCTACACATCAGCAAACTAAAAATGCTCTAATGAAAGGTATTAAACATACCAGCCAAGTACATCTCTAATCTGGCAATGCAACCAACACTAGCGACCAGATCATGTACTATGGGCATTTGAAATACTTTGTCAGGTTAATTAGCCAGCAGATTATTACAGCACTACAGGTAGGATAAGCTGCTCCAGCAGAGGCAGCCTTAATATCACTGGGATATTCCAAACAGATTTTCAGATTTCAATGATGTATTTACAACTCAGCGTGGTGTTGTGCTAACTTGGCTGTGAATAGTCAATCTACAAAAATAATTGATTTTTTTTTTAGAGCGAGTAACAAATCCTAATTAGCATAACACAGGTATAAATGCTTATTTTTTGACTGTTATGAATAAATTCTGAGTGTTCCTCCCTCTCTTGATTACTGTTGAATGATTCTAACACAAATACACATGGCTGATATCTCATGAGGGACAGAATCACAGTCTGAATCCCTGTCTGTGTCTGTCTTTGCATTGTTGCTACAAATGTAACTGATGCAAGTGCAAAACCCGTGTGTCAATTTTTTAACTAGTCAAGTCCTTTGGTTTTGCTTTAGATTAATAAAAATACTCAGTAAACATACTCATTAGGATCTGAAGAAACGAGTCTTCTGGCTCAGGGAGTTGTCAGACCCTTAACCAAATGCTGTATAAACGAATTCCTGGAAATGAACATACAGTACTTCAGGCACTGAAGACTAAGAATTAAATGCTATGTGGTAAGAGAGGACACCGCGATAGGGCATGAGCTGAGATCGGCTCGGCATAACTTACATAGGATGTAAGAAGCCATGTTTTCTCTTAAGCAAAAGAAGTTTCTGAAACTGCCAAGAAAGCAAGCACTACACTCAAATGATGTAACATCACTGGATAGTTATGTCTGTATGTGCAGCCCAGAACCTCCCTATACAGTTGGCAGTGATTGTTTAGCTAAGACTAAACATGACAGCATGAAGACGACAGCATGAAGTTACGTAATCTTCCTGAATAAATGTCATACTAATGAGAATTTCTGTTACAGTAATTAACAGTTTGCATGTTTCCCAAATTCTGTTCACTGTTTCAATAGCCTACTGTGACTTCTTTCATAGTCCCCGATAAAGGGCTGTAAAAAAAAAAAAAAAGATGACTGTACTTTGTATTCTCCTTTCCCAGGATGCACTAAATGAATTACCTATAGAGCACAGTCAAATAATCCTAGTCCAGTTTTATAGCTCTCTCTAAATTCCATACCCATGTTAACAAACAAGTGGTTTTACCTCTGTCCTACCTCTCCGATTACACTTAATTTTTTTTCTCCTCAGAATTAACATTTCATACTAACTTAAGAGGTTAGACAAAGTTACTTCCACACAATTCAAGATGAGCTCCCAAACTTCTTGGTATTAAAACATGCAAAGGCAATTATGAAGTTATAAACCACAGAACTTATATTAAGCAGTTAAAAAACACACATAAGAAGAAATACTGCACAGTTACGTATCAGTTGTACCTGTAGGAAAACATGCAGTACTTACGAAAAGGTATCAGATGACATCAGTGTTAATAAGAAAATGTACTGCTCTTGGGATAGCCAAGCTCGTCCAGGTTGGGCTGACAGGCAAACTGAATCATAGGTGGTGGCCCACACATGAGAATGAGCGTCTCGCTGCCGGGGGGAGGGAGGTGGGTTTTAATCATGTCTGCAGTGACAAAGCCAGAACTGTAGTGCCAATCTGAAACAAAGAAATTAAACTATTAATTTGAATCTCTGTACAGCCTGAAGCCTGTTTAAGCTGCATCTGTTATACCCACAAAGTAGCTGAAGAATCAACATAGTTACGCCACCATCACCACAAACCAAGAGCGGGTTAAATCCCTCACTGAGCTCAAACCTAGTTGCCCCCACTTCGATAGGGACAACAAGCATGTGGATAATGAGGATCTGGTTGATAAGACATGAAAGTCTGTGAATAAATGATACATTTAGAAGAATTTAGACAACAGAAAGAGTGAATCATCTTTTCCAGTGGAGAGGATACCTGGGGCAGCTGTGCAGGGAAAGGTATTGAGACCTGGGCCATCCAACACATTAAAAAAAACAAAAAACACCCAAAATTGGAAAAGAGATCGAGTGGTGAGATGACAAAGTTTGAAGATGACAAAAGTTCTGCTGTGTAGTTAAGTGATGAGAGAAAAAAAAATTAGAAAAGAAACACTAAATGATTTCAAGCAGTAATATTACTGAATGCATCTGCCATTTAAAGTGAGCCAAGTAGGAAAAATAATCCTGCCTTCACATATAAAAATATGTGCATTAAGCTCATTTATGAAGAGCAAGATATCGGGGTTATGAAAACAGCAGCAGTCAAGAGGCATATGAAGTCTTAAGAAGTATTAGGAAAGGAAAAGGGAACACCATGTCAAATTAAAAATGAAGAGTTTGCCTGCATCTTGACTACTGCTGCTCAGTTCTGATCTGCTCAGCTCGAAAAGGGCCATAGCAGAGCTGGAAAAGGTTGAGAGGTGGGAGAACAAGGGTGAGCAAAGGTGTAATCACTGCTATGTGGGGAATACCAGCAATCTTCAGGATGGAAGAGATGGGGCAGCAGGGGTAACTGATGTCTGTAAAATTAGTAACGTCACACTCTTCCAACACAAGAATTAAAGAGGCAAATGCAAACCAGAGGGAGTCATTCTTCACGCAAAAGTGCTAATCCTATGGAACCACTAATAGACTGCCAAGAAGCTCCCCCAGGCTCCAAACAGTAAGTTCATACAAAAGTAGTCAGTCCACTGAGGGTTACTGTATCTACAGAGACACATTTGGCTCAGAACTGCGAAATATTAAAGACTGGAAGAGTATCAAGGCCTGCTGTTACTCTTCTCTGGCCATCTACTCATGGCTATTGCTGACAACAGGCACGGAACTTTGATCTGACTTAGTTTGGCTCTTGCATCTGTTAAACAAAAGCTCAGATCACTTACAACATCAGCAAACATGAATACCCAGGTTTCAATGGAGATTCAGTAGAGTTCAACCTCTCCCTCCATTTCTAATCCAGAATTTTCCACACTAGCCTACAGTTAATGCTTTAATCTATACACATGGCAGCTCTGTTTTACAGAATCTAATCTAGAGCTGCTGCAAAACAAAGATGTGCATGTTCTATTTACAGGTATTAAGCAATTTAATGCCAACAAAATGCTAACATAACCTGATTGAGGAGATGTTATCCCAAAACAGCTGTAAATTTTGCTGAGAAGTCCAAGAAACTGGCACATCCTGAAATATATCAAAAGATCTGCTGAGAAACCTGTGTCTCACCCAACAGGAGTAAATTATTGGTTCACACTTTCTAAGGCCCACCTGGTTTAGAACACTTTTCGAAACAGGTGTTGCGGTAAGACTTGTTTCTGAGGGTTTGGGGGGTGTCTTTGTTGTGTAAAATAGTGTAAGACAAGAACACTTGATACTGTACTAGTGGCCCCTTGAACAAGAGTGAAACTCTGACTTGTACTGTGATGAGCAAAGGCACTTCCAGTGCGTACCAGCAGCCTACCTTGTGGAGGTCGGTCCAGCGTATACCACAGCGTGAACTGATCAGGATGCCTCTTAGCAATGTCTTCTAGCTCAGCTCTCAGTAATATATCTTTTTCTGTCTGCAAAATGAGACTACTGTTTAGCTCCAAACCATCTCAAGATGCCCTCTAATGTGAGCTCATCTGGCATTCAACAAGGCAAAAGCAATGATAACTCATTCAAACCAAGAAAGTGATTTCCCCCTCTCCCCCCTTACCTGATAGGCTATTATCATTACAGGCTTCTATAAATTCAGATTAAGAACAACAAAGTATGAGACAATAGCCACCTAAAGACTGTCTTAAAGATGACAATTTGAAAAACTTTGTAATCCAGGCTAAAATCACAAGTAGCTGGATTTGTCTCTAACCCTGGCAAATACAGCCCTGTACCAGCATGGTGAAGGTTAACTGTAGAAACAGATTAACAGAACAAAATCCTGTTTCCTTGAAATCAGTGAAGGAATAAAATGAGTAGAAGGCTAAGGATCTATTCACACTATTTAATCCCTAATACAGGAATTAGGGAGTGTAAGTGAAACTGAGGTGCCACCTTCCAAACAAATAAAAGATCATGGGAACTATGACAGCACCACGCAGTATTTATAAAGGGCCTTATGGCTAATTTTTTTAAGTCGGTTTCTCCTTCTTAAATCATTTTAACCCAAGACAATAGATTAAGAACTTACATAATAACCATTTCCTGCTCCGCCCTATACTGATCATTTTTAAAAGTGCTGTCTCAGATAAAACTTTCTCATAAATGGTTGGGTGAAAATACAAACCCAAAGGCAATGGAAGAGTATGAAACAGGCAGAGCAGTATTTTCTCCAGGGGTCAATGTCCCATCAGTTTAAAAAGCCCAGAGGTCAGCAAAAAACCCAGGCCATTAAAGAAGGAAAACAGATGAGTACTCACCTGGTTAGCAAAAAGGAGGTAACATTTTGTGGAGTCCTTAGGATCGTTTGTGATATGACGGATCAGCTGCAACATAGGAGTTATTCCTGTTAAAAAACAAAGCTGTTAAAAACCAGCTATTTCTTTCAACCCACTTAAGGCTGCAGTTTCAATACTAATGCTGCCTTCCTTCAGTGTTCAAGGGGAGCTTAGTTTGCACAGGGCTACATACCTCTGAATTTCTAATCCGTGCCAAATGCAGAGGTTGGGGGTTTCTATTATTACAAATAGTTTCAAAACAAAACCAAAACCACAGTACTTGTATCTGGGGCTTTCCTCTTCAGTCTTCTCTATATCATACAGTAATTTTACCCTCAAGACATTCTTCTAAAATATTTTTTGTCATTGAGACTGCAGCTTAAAGAGATGAAGTGACTTCTCTGAGGTCAACAGTAAATCAAGACTAACACTCTGAAGTTGCTAGCTCCCAGGACTGAGCTCAAACCACCAGAAAGCCTCAGTGTCACCAAACACTTCACGAAAAGAAATACAGGTGGAAGTGCTCTGCTACTGAAGTACAGATTTGATACTCCTCACACACATCCGTAAAGACACCTTTGTTCTCTAGACATTCCATGTGATGAGAATAGTTTTACCTGTTCCTCCAGCTATCATCCCAAGATGTTTTGCAAACTTTTTCTCTGCTTCAGACTTCTTATGAGGCTTGATAAGAAAGGTACCTAGAAGAAATATTCAAAACCTATAGGTATATCAACTCCTAAACAAACATGGATACAACTTCTATGGGAATAAATTACTACAGCCCACCAATTAATTGGGACAGATCTTCTGAAAATGCTAAATGGACTCCGCACAACATCGAGCACAACAAATAGAAACCCCTTTGTCTCTGTAAACTCCAACCCTAGCTTTCAGCAACTGATTTACTCCTTCCCTTTTTTACCCAACATGATCTATAATAAACTCAAGGATTCCCGCCATCACAGCCTAGAACACAACTCAGCAACTGTGAATGTTAGTGATAGCTAAAGGCAAGCACAGCCCCTACTACAGAGAAGCAGGTTTCTCAGGCCATCTTCATCCTCACTTGCACCATGGATCTACCCATTTGTGTGTGTCCACATTCAATGTATTAAACCAGCATCAAGCAAAAACCCCTGCAAAGATTAAAATCAGGAGTGTTGGAGCCTTGCATACATTCATCATCAAGCACTTTATTACTGTAATTCATTTCCAGTTAATGGGATCCCCGTGACACTCGCAGTAAGCTAGGCGACTACCTTCTAGTATCCTGTGATGACAAGACCTTGCAGAGTTCTGCTCCATACCTGGGTATGCCATTGCTTCAGAACTGCCACAAAACCAGTTTTTAATTGAATTAATCTCCAAGGACCAAGCCAGTGAGAAGCCCATGAAAAGCACCTTATATGAAAAGCACTTGACATATTCCAATCATCTTTTAAGAGACCTGTAACTGGTAACAAGCTTTCCTAGCTACTACTCTTTGTAGCAGCCAAAGCAGAGCAGAAAGGAACGTTTGTAAAACATGCATCGCCCATTTCCTCTGAGATATAATGGCTTGATCAGTATATTACTCATCATAAAATATCATGATCCAGAGAAGCACTGATGAGCTCTTATCCCCCTGAAGTAGGAGTTAAATGCATGGTCCCTCTCAGTCAAGATCAAAGCAAAATCTTTCACTTGCATCTTGAAAGAGGATTACGTCTCTGAACTTACTTCCTCCCAGTCAACTCAGACCTGGCTTAATCATGAAATAGAGCTGGCTTGCAGTCAGTGGGTTATTCAGTAACAACGCTGGGATTCTCAGGGGGCATTTTAGGCCACAACCTCCCTTGCTTAAGAAGCATCTGGAACATTTCTCTCCATATGTATAGCTGAGGTACTATTTCCAGTGCAGCCTTCTCAGTAATACAATGCAATAGCAGTTTTTTAGATTTAATTATATGGTCCCAGGAGTGTGACAACCACCAGCTATTCATCACACAAAATAAACTCAAGACCAGGAAAGGTAGATTTTCTCTTTTCCACTTTTTAAAAAACATTCTCTATGAACTTGTCAAGTTTTACAAAACAGCTCTGAAAATAACCAATAAAAGTTCCTCCCTTTTGCTCTCCCACCTTCATGTCACAGTACCTGCCCCCTTATAGACAAGGAGCCCGTTTGGCCCTCTGAAGTCAATAATATCTCCAATTTTCATGTCATCTAGGTACTGGGACATCTTCCCACCTGCTGGAAACTTGGGATTCACATTTTTGTGGTAGACCTGTAAAAACAATAATTTGTATGATATTGACCACTAGCTTTCCTGCAGACAATATTACAAACTGTAGAATATCGCAGGTCTGAAATTCAGCATCTGAGAAAAAAATTGAGAATATTCTTTGCTCTCATTTATCTGTTGTGCCTTGCCACAGGAAGCAGGCAAAATAAGTAAAGGGCTCTCTCATGCACATGTTCCTGTGCTCTCTGCAAATAGCCAGGCTAACAGGAATAGGTGGCAGGCAGATTATGTACTGGTGCCCTCATTTCACTATTGCTCCAGCAAGAACCTTATGTTACCCCATTTTTGTAATCGCTCCTTCTGAAAATAGCATTGCTGCATCTTTTCTTTTTAAGACCTCCCCAGAGACTTCAGCCACGTGACAGCTTCTTCACCTTTCAAAGCACATAGTAAGTGTTAAGTAGTTAATAACGATTGACCATACTTGTAACATGAAGAACAGAGCATGCAAAAAAAGCCCAGATTTTTACCTAAGGACAAACTCTATTGTAGAAAAGGATTAGAAAATCCAGAAGTCCTGGGATCAAATCATTCTGCATTCCCTAGCTTAAAGGATTTCCCTTGTTTCTGTGTCCCATTTTTTGAATCAATAAACACATTAGCACAACTTCTGATGCTTACAGACATATAATTGCAATCTCTGTAGCGTCACACCAAGATAGCAGTTCCTACTGACTTGTTTCCTACTTAGAGCTATTAGCAGTAAGTACTATAGCAGTATAGGCAGCTTGAGGGAGAGTGATCACTGTTCGTGTGTTGCCAAATAAAAGATACTAGGGAAGTTCCTGCAGTACTGCCAAGGAAGTGATTCCCTTCTCCATCTTCCCTACCTCTGCTATCTCTTGGTGACATGTAGCAGATACATGGGATACAACTTGCTACTCAAAGATAACATGAAATGAGTTGTTTGCCATGCAGGCATTCTATTTTAAAGAAGATCAATCAAAATAAACTCTATTTCTCTAAAATGAAGTACTTTCCTTCCTTCCAGTTAGCAATTCATCTATATTAAAGGAACCCAAAATTTACCTTTATAATTAAATCAACATAACCTTTTGTCTCGTCACTGGAAACTGGGGTGTAGGCTCGAATCACCAGATTACCATCGATTTTTGCGGAAAGGTAAACATGTTGGCCTAGGGAAAAAGAATTACAGTATTTATTTTTTATCCCTGGATTCAGACTTTTCTCAGGCCTGGAGGACAGGACAAGACAGAAAAAGCAGGTAGTATAGCCCATTAAACACAAGCAATGATGGAGGAAATCTTTACCATATAAATAGTATATATTTGGGGTTCTACTGTTCTCATATTTGTTTCTGAAGTGAAAGCAAGGATACACCAGTTCACATAAGCAAAGAAAGAAATAAGCATTATGGTTTAATAGCAGCAATCTCTCAGAGCAAAATTCCCAGAGATTCTGCACCAAGACATCAAGAACGAAGCCTTGGACCATATTCCTTCTCCATAACACCTGCCTCTGTAACACTGCGGCTTCCACAGCATTGGATGCTGCTGTCCCGAGAGAGCTCTTTGCTCAACCTAACACTCCAAGAGCAGACTCTAAAAGGCACACGTTTCTTTCTGCTGATTAAAAGAACTGAAACTCCTTGCCAAGAGTAGCCTTCTCAGCCAGACAGCACTAATCTAGAGAGTTGTATGGAAAAATAAAAAGCAGGAACAACACTGGCAGAAAACACCTTATTTTTAGCATAATGACCCTGGGTAAAAAGCAGAAGGCAGGAATCTCCCAGGAAGTAATCTGGCCCAAGCAGTTGCAGGATCTTATTCCTAAATTCTTAAGAACAAAGTTTGGATAAACAGAAGCACTGCAGGGCACATCTCAATTAGTTTATCATTCGTCTAGTTCATGTGGACAGGTCAATTACACTCTCCCATGCAAGCCGGAACAGAATGTGGAGAAAGCAGCATGCAAGAAGTACATGCTCACAGCACGCAACAGGAAAGGTCCTGACACTTGCCATACAGCAAGGGAAACTGCAAAACATAGTATAAGACAACAGGGGCTACATCTGCAGATCAGAAAGGGAGACTTTCCCCTGCAGAGTTTACCATTAATTTAAGATCCAAGGTTCAATGCCACCAGTTTTGCAGGGGACATGAAAGAAATCTGTGCCAGTCCTAGTCTGAAATGAACCTCATGCTATAGAAAGCAAAACAAAGATGTACATGTATGTACGTAAATCAGAGTTAAATGCATGCACAGAAAAGGCTCTGAATATTTCAGCATCTTCCATGTACAGTAGTTGTATTTTCCCCTTCATTCTGCACAGAATAATTACAAGCTTCCCAGACAGAAGAGTTGTTCTCTTTCTCCCTACAAGTGTGACTGTATTCATCAAAAGCATGAGGGCAGTTGACAATAAACTGAGGGCATCAGATGGAAGTAGAATGCAAATAAGAAATATGAGAAAGCTCTGACAGATACCATTCTTGCCTGTATCCTGACTGGTGGTGAATTTCAGCAGACTCAGTTCAGTTTCACTGTTCTTGTTCTAAACTACCCCACACGTTTAACAGAAGCAGAGCAGAACAAAGCACATGCAGAAGATCAGAAATACAACCCCTTTGGGCAATCTGACATTTCTCTCTGACAGCAGCATTCAGATGCAGCTTTTAACTCCTTGCTTTGCTGAGGATTAAGTTCCCAAACAGTCAGAAGTCCAAGAACCATCAGTGTAGTTATAAAGCCTAGAAACAGAAATGCATGCCATGAAGTGTTTTCAGTACTTACCTACAGGTAATCCTAATACATGATCTGGTGAAGGTAGCCCAAACCGGAATTTCTTGGTATCATGACTGATTTCCTAAAAAAACCAAACAAAATCAGAATGAGGTCAACTTCATACTGCTTTGAATTTCAAACTCTACTCAACACAATATGCTTTAAGCCTGTTCTTTGTTAGCATGGAAGCCAAACGCTAGGAAGGGAAGCAGAAGTGGCTTTGACAAGTGTAAACAATCAGAAGTTTTAGAACCAAAACCTTTCCCTCTTCAATTCCACAAGGAGTGACTTCTGCCTGTCTGCACATTCCCTATAGCACCTTTACATAAAGAAAATCTGGAAACCTCTATTACACAAAGCCAGTGAGCACATTTCATAATTTGGGGCCAAAGATCAGGCAAGACACGACGTGCGGAAGCACAGGCTGTTGGGGTTACTGCTCCCTGATGCACACTGGAGAAGAATCAAGGGAGAAAAACAGCTGTAAACTAGGATTCAAACTTACAAAGAAATTAGTCCATTCTTCTTCTGAAACAACCATTACACTGTAGTCTAGGCACAAATTACTTTGAAGAACCCTGCTCTACCCTAGGGAAACACTGCAGCCTGGCTGCGGGAACCACAGCCGCCCTTCAGAGCTCTGCACACTTCTCC